GAGACAGTTGTTTCTTGTCTTTATTTTTACTATATTTTTCTTCATACAACTAAATACACTGCATGTGAACACATTTCTATGGGATATCATAAGATGGGTATAACACCCATTGGGTAAACACCTCTCAGGAGGACACACTAATGTCACAGTTCTTAGCCTGATCTGAGAGCTGATTGTTCTCTGAAGGAGATATCTGATATAGTTTAATTACATCACAAAATCTACCGTCTACTTTAAAATGTCATGCTATCAATACACTTGCTTATTGTGTTCATACACAACACAACACAACTCAGCCTTGTCAGCCCAACAGTCAAAATACTGAATGTCGGTCTAAGAGCAACATTGCAAACTGACTAGCAAATATGTTCGCTAACTCAATGTATTGGTATTTAAACATGGTTACAGTTATCATAAAATACCGGTACTTCATTATGCTATTTTTATTAAAAGTTTATTGTTTTGCATGTATGTTTATGGTAAAGTAGCACAATGCTGATATTTTCAGTCATTTCAGTGATATTACAAACGTCAAATATAACACATTTCATTCATACATAGTATTCAGCCAATGAGGGTTGAATCTTGTATAAACTGAACATTCTCTTTCTGGGCATATAATAGGCGATTGTTTGCAGCTGATTTTCGCTATGCAAATGTTTCTTGATTAATACCGTAAAATCTGTATTAGAAGACGCATTCCTAATAGAAGCCGCACCCATTCTTTTTGAACAATTGAGACCAAAAAAAATCACCATTTCTCATATGTGCAGATGCTCTAATATAAGCCACATCCCCTATGTTGCATTGTACCATTTTAATAGAAGCCGCGGTTTCTAATACAGATTTTACAGTACTTAAAATACGCTCATGTTCACAAACAATAAATACTCCATTGTCGCGAAAGTCGGAGTGATGTGTTAGGAACAACCATATTTTGATAAGTAAGATCTTTGAACTAAATAGTGAGAATAAAAACTATCAAGTGTTCGGAAATAACCACAAACCACTCAAAGAGAGCCAGCATAATTTAGGAGACTGTTTCTTAATTTCATCCAGAGTCTGTACACGGCATATATACAATTATATTACATCTACTAGTAGGGCTAAGGAGTTTCAGAATACAATAATTTGCGGTATCTGCATCCAATAATTATGCAAATTAGGATGCGAAGTCCAATAATCATGCAAATTAAGGTATTTGAATTTTGTTTGGCCTCTTGCCCTCATCCGTAGATCACCGTAAACAATCGAAAAAAAAAACCTTTTCACCGAAAATATATTTTTGTTTTCAAATTATATGAACGACAACATTTTAGCAATGGTTATCAGCGAATTCCGTTAAGATGGAACTATTCTGGCTGGTGATTTTCCAAAATCTCCAGGTTGCTACTACATTCAATAATACTTTCTGTAGATACATGTATCTATTGACTGTATGAAAACATGTACCAGCTTTTATGAAAGCATAATACAACGGTTATGGCCTGTCTGGGGTCCAATTGAGTATGAAACGAATGATAAGAATTTGCATCAGTGGATTGTGCATGTGTGGTGTGATAGGAATATTGAATATACATGAAGTCGTCACTTGAGAATGAATGAGTACATGTGGTACAGTTGGTCCAAGCATAACTTAACATTTACCAAGCATTCAGCTAGCTTAAACCTAGCATAGTTTGCTTTCAAAACTGACACATATCTAAATTATGCAGAGTAATCCATCTAACTATGTCCTATATTACTGTCACCACCATATCCTCGGGGGCGGAGCCACGTCACAAGACGTTCCAAATTGCTAAGACGCACACCACTGTACCACGTATTTCTATGGGCTCTGTGCGCGCTGCTGATGAATGCCGAGCGTAGAGCCGATGAAAATTCAAGAAAACAACACAAACTCAAGTTTGAAGTAATCCTGAACAATCAAATTCATATATGTTACACACGTAGGGCTAATCTTGTTACACTGTTTCAGGGGAGTCTCAACAACCATCCCAAAGTACCATTTTCTGAGAGTTTTCGGCCTTTGTTTTCACCGTGATGGTTGCTATGCCGTGAAAATGCCCGGATGTCCGCCCCTGAGGATTGTTTCAAACACCAAAATAGCAACATTACCAGGTATATGGCAGACTGGTTTGCTAAGATTGCTCTGAGATCGTTATGCGATCAATCCAACTTGAACAGGAGACGTCAAACTAATAGTGAGGGAGTCAGACACATCGGAATATAAATAGGAGATCACGATGCAATTGCTTTTCATTATATTTTATTTTATCTCATACATTTGTATATAATAAATGACAAAGTTATGTATTTACACAGTATGAAATGTCTGGATACAGGCGTTGGTGTGTCTGATGTGTGTACTCTAACTAACTAACCAGGTCTAATCATGTAACAATCTTGAGACGCCTATAACAAACCAGTAGGCAAATTAGCTGGCAAAGTTGATATCCGGAACAATATGGCGGTGATAGATTTGGTAAATACTAAAAAGAATATATTGAACTTGATGGCAATGACACTCACTTTAAAAATTGTAAGTTTTCATGAAAAGGCAAAGCAAGCTGAAAGCCATCATGGACATAAATAAATTACGCCATTGTGATGTAAGTGTGTCATAGACGTTCGCATTTAAAGCACGGTAGTCGTCGCGCTGCGCTTGTGCGAGATATATGGGTCTCATATAAAGACTTTGACTGTTGCGCAGATCAACGAGTACGAACTGAGATGTTTCCAAGCTTTAATTAGCCTAGTAATTTTTATGTTATGCGAAGGTGTCAAGGAGTCACCGGCGGTAATCAGTGCAAGTCGCGCCCAGGTCAAACCTCATACTTGTGATTTGAAGAGCGCATTGGATTGTGGGAAAATCAATGTTTATCATCACAAAAGTGCGACGACTACCGCGCTTTAAGTTATGCAAAGAGGTAATTTTCTAGATGAAAAAATCTAGAGTTTCTCAATGTAAAAAAATCATGATAGTTTTGATGGGTTTGTTGTCAAAACAAATTTGGGGAAACATTGAACATGGTCAGGTCACACACATTCTTAGTATCTTCTTGTCACTATGACCTTAGTCACTAAACAGCTACATGTGATAACAATCAACCAATGAGAACTTGTTATTTCAATGTTGAGCAGTGGATGGCATTATAATGAATATTATATGGATATATCCATGAAAAGTTCAGAGCACATTATGCAAATTAGCACTGTACAATATGTTATCAGTATTAGCGTTTACACCACCAGACTTTCTCGCCCATATTTTGGAGCCAACAGACAAAATTTGTATTGATTTTCAGTTTTTACTCACAAAAAATTTTTTTTTTTGTCCCAATATTCTGGAGGAAAGTGCAGACTATAATCAGGACTATTTTGTAAATTTGTGAAAAGCGGGAACTGGTGGTTGAAAATGTTAACGAAAGTTGGGATGTTTATACATATTAATGTAAAATACTCATGCAAATATTATTATCATTTGATTTCACACAACCATCTTTTGAAATATTAAAAATTATATTAGATTTTTACTGTCAGTAAGATATGATGACGACATTCCAATAATTACTTTAATTTACGCGATCCATTTAATTTTTGTTTGCAAGAAAAAGTAGAATTCAATATACTGTAAACTACTGTATTTTCGCTGAAGGGATGTTTTAGTGAAAATAAAATCCAGCGAATATACCTTTTTCCTATGTCTCACATTCAACTCGTCAAAAATCAGTGAAAATAAATTCCATACAAAACACCCAAAAATCTTTTTCAGTCAAAATTAATTCCAGCTAAAATAAAGTATTTCACAGTATTTTATTTTAGCTAAAATTATTTTTCGCTGAAAAGACAGTTTTGTATAAAACTCATTTTAACTGATTTTTGATGAATTGCATGTAAAATATAGTAAAAAGGGTATTTTTACTGTATTTTATTTTCACTCATTTATCCCTTCAGCAGAAATAGAAAAAATAAATTCCAAGTGAAAATACAGTACTTCAGAGTAAATAAACATTAAAATTTCTTTTCCATTTCTAACACTATTTTGCTACACACATGGAATAAACTATTCATTTATAAAAACAAATTTAAAACTACGGTTTTCACAGATCTATGGCTTCCACTGAGTTACATACACGTACTCCCTTAACTGACTGAATACATCATAGGGCACAACATAATTTAGTTGACTATCATCAGTGCATCTCATCACATGTTAGGCCAGGAGAAAAAAATTCTCTGTTTCTCGTTTCATGGAAATTTTTAAACGAGGCGGCGAGGCGACAGTTCAAAATGATGAACGCGGAAACGAGAAACAGAGATATTTTTTTTCTCAGTCTTACATTTTCCGGAGGGCGAAATCATTAAAGTACACTGAAAGCACTGCATCACAGAACTAGAGGTTGAATATTGAACGATTGTAAATTACTAGTTGAACCAGTATCATAGCAGAAAAAAAATCAGTAAATATTCAGTATTCAAAATTCAAAAAGTATTCAGGTGAGAATTTAAACATAATCTTTTTAATTTGGAAATAAATCAGGATTAAATCACCATATTTTTGTATTTCCAGACATATAAACATTATATTATTAATATTTTGGAAACAAAATTACACCCGTTTGCTAATTTGGTGTAGTCAGAGCTCCAACTATAGTCATATCTTGGTGATTTTAATATTCAAATTTAACCATGGTAACCATTATAACTTATCGCTGGATTTCATTGAGTTTTATAATATGGTTTTATTTTATACTGCTGCTCACAAAATCCAGAAAACAAATCAAACTACTTTTTGCACAAAAAATGTGTTGAACACCAATGAAAATGGTAATTTTTGAGTCATTTGCCATTTGTTCCTTAAAAAGTTTACGTCATATTTCAAAATTTCGCTCAGATACATATAGTGACTAAATATGATGTATGTAAAATGGGTTCTTATGATTGTCTTGAATTATTAGGAAATCATGACGAATACTGTAAAAGGGTTAATTATTCACTATTATTCATTATTAATTTTGCTTATTGTGAAACATGTTGAAAAAGCGATATGCAATTTTAGCGAATTGTGGTAAAATGGCGTAATACCAAAATAATGATTTAGCGAAGCTCTCTTGTCGTTGTTGATTTTCTGTTTTCACAATACTTGTCTGCCAAGTGCCAAAACAAATGTGCAGTTATCACCTCCATAAAAACAAAGAAAAACCGTCAAGTGTATTTAGGAAGTGCCCAGGATTGTTATGTTTCGGATTACTGTATTACAAATTCTCAAGCCTTGGCCATTTTGAATTTATAATAAAGTCATTAGCGACATCTTGAATTAGCGAATTAGTTCTTCCGCTAAATTCGCTAAAAAGACATGCTCGCGAAAACGACATGTTTTACAGTATTTCGCTGACTGGAAAATGCGCTAAATTAAAACCCAGTGAATATGTAAAATTGAGCATAGAACACATTATCTAAATGATAAAACCGTGAATTTAAAGCGCACTGAATATCCCTGAAATGCTAAATCAGCGAAATTTAAACCCAGTGAAAATTTATTTTTGTGAAATAACCCTTGGAAATAGTTCCAAAACAGCCTATTTTTGCATGTTCTCAGACTGGTTTTTTGCTCTTAAAATATACTGGGTAAAAAATCGCAAGTCGATTGATGACTAAGTTTAAATTAATTCTTATGTCACACTTTTAAAACAAATAAACGTGATAATTTTGTTGACCTTATTAAATCGGATGAATACCTGCGAATGACCTTAAATAAACAAAGCCAATGATAGAATTACACAGTAGCCCGAATATAGATGTGAAATGGATAACACATCCATCCCACAAGGGATGATCTGTATGCAAATGAGGTCAGCCAGAGATTTAAACACGGCTCACATCAGAGCCATCCCAGCCTGGGAGTGTGAAAGTGGCAACACATTTTCTGAGAAAATATTTGTTATTAAAATTTATTATATTTAGCAGCCATTTTGTCAATTTTAGAACCAATGTAATATTGATTCATATGGTTAATGGCATTGCATCTTATTTTACATGTGCGTATGATATATCATGGAGGTACCTCCATGGATATATATATATATTGATGAAAAAATAATATGGGTTTTTAAAATTCTACAATTTGTTCATACCGGGGGGGTATATAAATTTTTGAATAATAATTTGTCCATCTTTTATTCAATATAAAAACTTGCACCACACTGTTTAGTATTGTTCACTGTTAACTGGTGTATCCTCAATCAACAGGTATTTGAAGAATAAATGTTAAACCAAGCAATTTGTACTTATTTTATAGGGGAAAAGAGGAATTGTACTTCTTGTACATGTATATTGACGACTCATAAACACAGACGTATTAACGAAATATTCAGAGAGACTTAAAAATGCGATTTTGTGTTTTGGCGGTATCGGGAATCCAGCGATTGTATTTTTAGTGTTTGAACCCTGAGAAAGGAGATTAACCTGTATCTGACCATGGAAGGTTCCATGCTGTGCAAACGATTGACCAAACATACGAAGACTGTCTGGATGTCACTGACAGCGTTTTATTTGAATTTCTATAACGTTTGATTAGTGAATTGCAGAGTAAAATAAATCACCATGTGAATTGCATCATTCATGTTATTGGTGGCGATGTGCGTTTTCTAATCAACAAATTACAGAATCATAAACCATAAGCTTACCGATTGCCGTTAAAATTCCCCAAACCCTGGCGACGAAAGTAAAATGGTCCCACAGCATCCAACACAAGCCACACCTTCTTGGAGTAGTTTCTGCCATGATTGATACTGTGTGAGCTGTTTATAAAAGGTTATTTTGCTCCCCTTTCTTCACATCACGAGCGACCACATTAATACGTGTAACGCGATCGCTTTCGTAATGTACACAAAAATAGACCCATGCCGTATTTGCATAAGTCGTAGTTCATGCATTTTTCTCACGCTACAAGTGCAGACTTTAGAGGGCGCTTCATATAGGTACCTGTTGATATTTGTTAAATTACGTACAAGTTTTCATGCTAGTTTGCTACACCCTGCGTAAAATTAATAAAGGAATTTTGAATAAAATGTAATATTATAATAAATATAACAGTACTGTT